TTATTATTATTATTATTATTATTATTATTATTATTATTATTATTATTACTATACCACCTGAACACCTGCCTTAACTATGATTACCTCTGGGAATCCCAACTGAAAGCAGCTGGAAAACTACAGGACTTTTGAATCAGTATTAATTACAGTTTATAAGAAAACCTACATAACAATGAGATCTGTTGACTTTTTTACTGTCTTAAGCCTCTATCATGGACTAAATAATTTGTGGAATCTTTTCAGATAAACACAGGCATTAACAGAAATTACAAAATATGGAGCACAATCATAGAGACTGGAGAGCAAATAGAATGATGAATAAAAACACTTCTTACACACGTATCAAGAAAACACAGACTCAACATCACCTGAGAGGACTATATGAAGGAATCCTTAGATTTACAGATAGCTGAAGTTCACAGTGGCCTCACAGTAGCCTCATGCAGCCACTAGTCAAAAGGGGAGATCATCTTTATGTATGTACATAAGAGTTTCCAGAGACCTGGACCCTGAAGGTTCTGTTTCGTCCCAGTGTGTTGTGATACTGAATTGTGCTGTAAAAGGGAAAGGGTGAGATCTCACATTGGGGATAGAAATCACTAACCTAAAACAAACAAACAAACAAAAAAAAAAGACTCTGTCCCTTGGAGGTATTACCCTCTCTCCCCAGAGATAAAACAATTTCAGCTTCTTCCATATAATGAAGATGGAGAAAAAAAAGAACTCCCAGGCTTATTACCTGTAACTCTCAACCCTACACAAAAGCCACCTCCAAACCAAGACTGTCCCAAGACTCCAGAGGCTTTAAACAGCTTCCAGGAAGAACCTCAGGCTAATAAAGGGACAGAGCTTGAGGTCCAGGGACAACCTCAGGATTTAAGCAATAGAGACTGTGATCTTGGCTACATTCATCCATGTATCCCTACTGTTCCCTATTCAATTCCTTATCCACAAGTTCAGTCTCATCTAGAACAGACATTTCAGGGCAGTAAGGGGACATGAGATTCAAGTTACACAGTTATTGGTTGAGTCCTAGCCATGTACCCTGGTTGCTTCACAATACTAAGACATTAATTTTCTTTCAACTTGGAATAGTTGTACATATCTACAAAAGACATGTATTTAAGTGGGAAGAAGGCTTGTTTGATTTGAATGTAGTGTCCACAGTACCCTTACCATAAGCCCTGAGGTAGGGCTTATTTCCCACCTCTAGTTGGTGTTTCTTCAGTTTCTGTTCTTCTCTTTAGACACTGCATGTTAACTCTTCTTCATTTTGATTTCTGGTTGACTGAGGCCGTGTTGAGAAAACAATGAGAAGAAGCTTCCTCATCTTCTGTCAAGTGGTGTATAGGAGTGGAGAGGAAAATGGAGTTTAGCAAAGAGATTTCTCTTCCCATGAAGCTCTGAAATATTGAAAACACTGGTGGAAGTAATGTCTGTTTCCAGCGTTGTTAGACTATTGTTAGGCTGAAATAACATAAGGATAATGTTTGAATCCTGGATGTGGAATTCAAGGTAACTTAGACCAAAAAAGATATTGTAAGGTTACAGAATCATGAAGAAAGGAGTTTCATATCAGACATGAGTCTGGCAAGGAGACATTTGGATTTCAAACCCACGGGGTGTTGTGAATCTACCATGTCCTTGGTGACTTTTGCATTTTTCCTTTTATAAGCTTCTGTAGTTATCTCCATCAAGGGAATTAATAAATAAGAAATCTCAAATATTTATTCATTCAGGTAGCGATAATACTATACTATCAGCGCAATACATAGCGTATCTTAATGCATAAGCATATCTCATTACAAATTTTGACACAAAATGTTTACTGTAAATCCCAATCTGTGGGGAGATACTTGCACAACCACATTTATTGCGGCTCTGGTGTCACAATAACCAAGATGTAGAACTTTCTACATGCCCATCAACAGATAAATGAATAAAGAAAGTATGTTACACCATCTGGTGGGGTTTCATCATCTGGAAAAAAGAGTGAAGTTATGTCATCTGCAGGGAAACAGGCTGAACTGGAGTTCTTCTGATAAAGCAAAATAATCCGTATTTTAAAAGACAAATATTGTGCTTTGTCATACACAGAATCAGATTTAAGTGAGAATTGATGTGAAATGCATAAATAATATGAAAGCAAAAGGCATCTATGAGAGGCGAAAGAATCATAACGGGAGGAGAGACGGGGATAAACAAAGACAAATGTTACATGGTCTCTTGTGTTTTTCTGCAGATGTGTGAGTGTGTGTGTGTGTGAGTGAGTGGATGTGTGTGTGTGGGAGCATACATGTGTGTGGATGTTTGCCCAAATGTATGTGTGTGTGTATGTGT